TAAGGGTAATGCATTAGCGTCCTAGATTTGAATGGGCCATCAAAGAAACATATCAGTGGAGTTAAATTAAAAAACTAAGTCGCATTAAAAATTCATTACCTCTTAGCAAAAGAGGAATGGACAGGAACTTCCTCAACTTGGTAAAGAACACCTGCAGAAAAAGCCTAACATCATATTTAAAGATGCAAAACTAGAAGCTTTCCAGTAAGACCAAGGACAAAGTGAGCATGTCCCCCTCTCTCCTCAGCATCATGCCGGATGCCCTGGCTAATGCAATAAAAGAAAAGGAAACAAGGAGTTTACAGACTGGGCTAGGAAGAGAGAAATAAAGCTATCTCCACGGATGACATCATTTTATAGAAAATCTGAAAGAATCGGCAAAAAAAATCTCTTGGAATTAATAATAATTATAGCAAGTTTGCTATATAAGCTTAATACAAAAATGTATTGTTTTCCTCCATATCGCCAATGAACAGATGAAGTTTGAAATTAAAAACACAGTATCATTTATATTAACACCCCTGGAATATAAAATAGGTATAAATTAACAAAATGTGAATAAGATGTATATGAAGAAAACTGTGAAGCTCTAATGAAAGAATTCAAAGAACTAAACAAAGGGAGAGATTATTCCTTGCTCGTGGATAGAAAGACGCAGCTTTATCAAGGTATTTGGTCTTCCCAACTTGCCCTGTATATTCAATATAATGCCAATCAAAACGCCAACAAGTTACTGTTTTGGACATTCTCAAACTGTTTTTAGAGTTTCTATGGAAGGACAACAGATCCAGATTAGCGAACACGTTTGAAGGAGAAGATCAAAGTGGGAGGCCTAATATTATGCGGGTTAAAGAAGCGTGGTATTGGTTAAAGACTAGACAAATATATCACTGGAACAGAGCAGAGAATCCAGAAGGAGACCCACAGAAATGCAGTTAACTGACTTTGACAAAGTAGCACAGGCAATACAAGAAGAGGAAACAGTCTATTCAACAGACGAGGCTGAATACCCACGTGCAGAAAATTGCATGTACACATGGGTCTTGAATCCTTCCACCAAAATTTAACTCAAAATGAATCTTAGACCTCCATGTAAAACACAAAGTGTACAACTCCTACAAGATAATGTAGGAAAAAATCTAGATGACTTTGGATTTGATAATGACTTTTTAGATATGACACCAAAGGCTCAGTCCACGAAGGAAAGGATTGCTAAACTGAGCTTCATTTAAGTTACAAGCTGCTGCCCTGCAAAATACACCATCAAAAGGATGGGAAGATAGCCACAGATGGGAAGAAATTATTCGCAAAAGATGCATTGGATTTAAAAAAGCTATTATGCAAAGTATACAAAGAAATTTCAAAACTCAGGAATAAAAAAATGAACAAATAGTCCAGTTGAAAAACGGGCTCAAGAAGAGACATCAGGAAGAGAGGTCTCACTAATAAACAGGAAGAAAATGCTTCCCATTGTGTCATCAGGAAGATGCCAATTAGAACAACGATGAAATACTACTGCACACCTATTAGAATGACCAAAATCTAGAACACCAACAACAGATGCTGTCAACAAGGAGGAGGGACATGATGAATGTGTCAGCGTGGAGGCCAGCTTGTCATTTTTTTACAAAATGATACTTTTAGCATAAGATCCAACAATCAGACTCTTTGATATTTACTCAAAGAAGCTGAAAACTTATGTCCACACAAAACCTGCTCATGGATGTTTACACCACCTTTATTTATAAATGCCCAGACTCGGAAGCAACCACGCTGTCCTTCAGTAAATGGACATCTAGACAGTGGACTATTATTCAGCAATAAAGAAAAGTGAGCTTTCAAGCCAAGAAAAGACATAAAGGAATATTAAATGCATATTAATAAATGAGAAAAGCCGAAAAGAAAAGGCTACATATTGTAGGACTCCCATTATATGATGAAGAAAAACTATGGAAACAGTAAAAAGATCAGAGATGGCAAAAGGTGGAGGGGAGGGAGGAATGATGGGCTGAGCAGGGAGGGGTGCATGCTAGAAATTTGTCCAAACCCACAGAGCCCTAAAAAAAACCTGTGGACTTTGGGTGATAATTAGACTCCAATGTAGGTCCATCAGCTGTAACCAACCTGCCACTCTGGTGGGGGGTTTCGAATGGAGAAACCGTGCTTACATAGGAGTCTCAGAAATCTGTGTCTTCTGCTCAGTTTTGCTGTGAACTTAAAATTGCTCTAAAAATTAAAGTCTTTTTTTAAAAAAGAAAAACTGTTGCAAAGTAACAAAGTGATAAATAACTCCTCATCCTGAGAGGCAGCTTTTAATCTGATGAAAGGAAGGAAAGAAAGGCACTCCATATTCTCGTGTTTGAAGGGTTCACGTGGTCCTCATCTCGCCTGAGTGTGGTGTCTTCATACAACTCATGGCAAATAGTTCCTGAGGGCAGGTTTCAATTGCCTGGAGCAGATTTCCCTGGTTAAAGAAAATCACAGATTATTTTCATTTGGAAAAAAATTCCAAACTACTCACAAGAGGTTTCCATACTAACCATGTCTGGACCTTCACCTTGTCATCACTCCCTAAACAAAAACAATTATTTACATGACATGTACATCATATCGGGTATTATAAACAATCTAGAAATGATTTAAAGTATACATATGCAAATACTGCATCATTTTGTATCAGGGACTTGAGCAGCCATGGATTTGGGCATCCACGGGGGTTGTAGAGCCAATCTCCCAAGGATACTGAGGGACAACTCGGCTGCAAGCAAGCGCAGTGTCCCTATACTCTGTGCAGTCTTTGTAACTTTAAACAACTCCCCTGTAGTCATGTAGCCTGACCCCTCATCTCACGTAAACTGTGTCTGTCTCATTGAAAATAGTTACAACGGATGCAACTTTTAGTGCTGGTGTAGCCCAGGCAGGATCTCACAATAATCTAACTATTTCCAAGTTTGTTTTTTGCAACATCTATTTGTAACTCCTCTGTTTATTTATTTTAAATTCTGTTTAGTTCTTCATATATATTATTAGGATTGCAATCTTGGAAAGAGAAACTATTATTCTTTTAACAATGTGGAATAAAATTATTGCCTTTTATAACTAAACATAATGAAAGAAAACAGGGTCCCTAACAAAGTCAGCTAACAAAATGGAGATGCTGTAATGTTTTTTTGTTGTTGTTGCAGTTTTTGGCAGGGGCTGGGTTTGAACCCGCCACCTCCAGCATATGGGGGAGGCGCCCTGCTCCTTGAGCCACAGGTGCTGCCCTGCAGCGTTCTTTTAAACTTAAAATGTTTTTCTTCTTGTTTTCCTTTTCCTTCTTTCTCTTTGTTTTCCTTTTGAAAGTGTCCTGATTCTCATAAACATACTTATCTTTTCGGATATCATTTTTATTACCTTTGAAGCTTCTACAAGTCTTCTTTCTCCTAGAATACTTTTCTGTAGGTATGTTTTTTCCATTTAAAAAAAAATATTGATATATTCAAATAATTAAAAATATTTATAACATTAATCTGAATTTAAGGTATGCAAAAGTGCAGTTCAAATGCATTTTTAAAAATTGCTCCTATGGGTTCGGTGTCTGTAGCTCGGTGGTCAGGGCACCAGCCACATACACCGGGGCTGGCAGGTTGGAATCTGGCCCAGGCCTTCTAAACAACAATGACAACTACTGCAGTCAAAAATGGGTTGGTGTTTTTGGAGGCACCTGTTGTTCCAGCTACTTGGGAGGCTGAGGCAAGAGAGTTGCTTAAGCCCAAAAGTTTGAGGTTGCTGTGAGCTGTGACACTACAGCACTCTACTGAGGGTAACATAGTGAGACTCTGTCTCAAAAAAGAAAAACATTGCTCCTATGTGTGATAGAGCCATGTAAATTAGCAACCATATTACTTCTATGGTACACGCATCAAGTTATTGATGTATAAATGTTGGGATTTTTATCATGAGAACACTGTTCAGGACATTTTACTACATTTGGGTTAATTTGGGTGTAATTTTGCTGCATCATTTATTTTTGCTACGTTAGTGTCAATATTGTCTATTGTTTAATCTGGAACTACTGTTCAGATAAAAATGTGTTGGACAGACTAAACTATGATCCCATACGTTGGGATACATAAAACTTCATACACAAACATTCTGGGCGCGTGTGGTACTGTTAGAGTTTTGCTTTATAAACACAGGATTCTTACACATTTTCATCAGAAAAAAAGAAGAATGCATGGAGTATTAAAATTGTATAATCTGAATTATTTATTTTATCTCTGTTAGAACTATCATTTTGACTAGGTGTTGGGGAGAGCTAAATATTCCAATTTTGCACGTCTGATAATTGGAAGAAATGTCAGCAGACTAGCTTCAGGTCTGTGATCTGAAATTTATTTCTCCTGCACAACCTTGTACTTCCAGGGCTGCACAGATAGTGGGTGCTCAGGCTGCAACATAACCTCTGACCTGTGCTTGGCATTCTGTATGGGGAGAGTCGTCACTGTGGATAATAACATTATTCCTGAAAGCCGTTCCTGCACGTGTACAACCCAATTGACTGCTAGCCGTGAATGTGAGCCATTAAGCCAACAATCGGGGTTCTGCAGATCAGCCCTCCTGGTCAGTATCAGCTCAAACCCACACCATTGTAAAGCCACTGACCCCCAAGGGCAGTATGACAAAGGAGAAATTGAGATAGAGAGAGGCGGTTGTCTCAGCTGGTGAAAATGTCTGACTTTGGCAAATTTTACAAAAACAAGATTACGTGGACATATTTCCAGGTCCTTCTCAGGCCCTTGGAAATGGTCTCAGAAAGTGAGGAGCTTTGAGACTTCATTAGTTTTGCAGTAAATTTGCTTCTGACAACCACCAGCAAGACACATCATAGTGAACTGCAGTTTACTGAATACTCTTGACATATTGCTGTTGGTAAGATATAAGGAAGAAATATCAGATAAAATTTATAATTCAATTATATAATTTAGTACTTGTTAATTCTTAATAATTAGCTAATTTGTCCCAGACCTGGGTGGAGTGGCACTGGTTGGCGTGTCCCCCTCATATCGGCCAGATACAAGCACCCCCTTGTTTATCCCAGCTTGGCATTTGATCTGTCCTTACACCTGGTTCATGCCTGGGGTACCTGGGAAAAAAACAGTTAGCTAATTATAGAATTATGATTTAATTATTTAATAATGAACTACAGTTGTGCACATATTTATAGCATTTATTATGTAGCAGGCACTTTGCCAGGGTTGTTTAATCTTCACATCAACTCTATGAGACAGGCATGTTCATATCCTCATTTTAGAGATGAGGAAACAGAGGAACAGATTTCCTCTAGGTCATACAACCAGTTCTTTGCAAAATTGCCAAGTATAATTTGTATCTTTACATTCATTTTCCATTTCCGTTCAAAGTTTCGTGTTTGTTATTTTAGTGAGTCAGATATAACATCATATTATGCACGTCCTAGGACAGGAGTTTAGTAAATAGATGTTGTAGGATAAATGAAGCCAGGTTTGTAGTAATCCCTAAATGAGAAACCAAACTTGAACTCTCTAACAGCAATGCTTTGGGAAGCTGACGTGTGCAAAATGTTATCATGGAGCCATATTGAACTGTTTGTTGCCAGCGATAATTTAAGTGGTGCCATCTCTCTCTAATGATACATTCTTTTCCCCTACAGTTGATCCTTGTCAAATATCAAATCGTCCTAAGATAAAGAAATAGAGAGAAGGACATAAAACACAGATCACAATCTGTAATTAACCGTTAAAAATATTTCCAGCTTCCAGTGTTGCTGTCCGACTTGGATCAGCTGGATGAAATATGTAATTGCTTTATAAAAGCACACAGGCAGTTCAGTAGGACTCCCAGCAGCCTTTGCTTCACTCGTCCTGCAGCCCAGAAATCAGCATTATTAGCAGCAAACCTCAGAATGGAACTGTAGTAGTCACGCTGCAGATAGGTACAAACTACTGTAAGTCCAGTAAATTCATTAATGCAATTGTTTCCATAATCTTCTTTTTATCTACCTTTTGTTTTAAAATTTTGTTTACATGGTTTGTACTGTATTGTTTCCAGAAATTCCAGTAAATGGCTTTACTAATATCTGCCTGGTCTGATTTTTGAATGACTGGATCTGAGCTCATCTCTGTAGATGTTAAATATCGTGCCTCAAGCCAGCCTTTCAGGTGTGGAGGACAGAGGGGCCTCTTCCCCTCTCTCTCAGTCCCTGCTCCCATCATTAGCTTTCGGGTCTGTTCTGTTTCTCGGTTCAAGCTCTGATTAACACTTCTGGAGCTTTGCCAGACAACTCAGGACTCTCGCCTTGCAGTGTCTCATCCCCTAAGGCAGCAAACTCCATTTGTTAGCTGTTAATTAAGCCGAGTAGATCTGATCAGATATTTATGAACAGAGAAAACAGGAATGGAAGTAAGTGTTCCTTTAGAAAAAGACTGAGTAAGCTATATGTAAATTCGTTTTAAAAAAGCAACCTAGCCAAAAGAATCTCTCTGCAAAGGGCTTCCCTCTCTCCTACTTTAGTCTTTCTTAACCGAATCTGAGGAAATGCACATGCTCTATAGAGCACCAGTTGCGTCCCAAATATGCTTGTGAACTTGGGCGAGATGCAGAGAGGAACTGAGAGGAATATAAATACTGTATGTTCCCTCCGCAGAGCTGTGCAAGAAAAGGCTGTTTACTCAGAAATAGAGTTTCAGAAAGTGTGCCTGCCATCTGTAGTCCAGATGACGGGGATCGTGGCCATGAATTAAACATTTAGAAATAAAATGTAATGGTTGTTTCTTTCTTCAAGGATAAAGCAACCAAAAAATGCTTTCATTTCTCTTAATGTAAAAAAAAAAAAAATAGCTGGAATTTATTTTTGTACCAGGTGTCTATACCTTAGAAGACGTACAAGAAAGGTATGCTGATTGTGGATATTGAGAGTATGTCTAGTGCGATTTCTCTGTAGGTCGTAGGCCGTGAATAGTGTGATAAGACACAGGGACAATGCCATGAGTGAGGGTGTGATCGTCATCATTGTTGTCACACTCTAAAGAGGAATTGTAGTCTAAGACATAGGGACAATGCCGTGATGTGATCGTCATTGTCCTCACCCTCTAAAGAGGAATCGTAGTCTAAGACACAGGGGTCATTCCATGTGCCGCTCCTCACATGTATGACGCTACCCTATGATTACAACTAACTCATCACGAATAGCCCCAGTCCTGAAGCTACAAAAAGACGCTCAGCAAGGTGGGCATGATTCTCCACTGAGTGAGATTCAAAACAAACAGAGCAAAAACCTAACTGGGTATGATTTTGAGCACTGCCCATTAAGAGTAGGCAGTCTAAAGCTCACATAGAAACAGGCAATGTGGGTGATTGGTGGGATCACGGCTATGGGGCATCCTACAAGGGTACATGTGAATCTCTCTAATTGTGGAGTGTAAATGTCTTAACACAGTAACTAAGAAAAAGACATGAAGGTTATGTTGACCAGTTGGATGAAAGTATTTCAAATTGTATACAGAAACAGTACACTGTACCCCATGATAGTATTAATGTACACTGCTGTGATTTAATTTAAAAAAAAAGGAAAAAAATAAAAATAAAGACGATACATCAGGCAAAAAAAATAAAGAGGCAGTGAAAATATTTGATACATGCATAAGATAACCACAATATCAAGGCCCCGTAGAAGTATTTTGCAGTGGTTAAAACAAAAAAAGCAGAGCAAATTTGGTGTGTGTGGTGTGATGTGGTAGGGGTGGGAGGCATGGACCCGTGTTGCTGGAATCATCACCTTTCATCCGAAAGTCAAGAGTCAATTTGGCATGAAGTGCAATTTCAAAAGTTCATGCAATTAAGAAGGTTGAGAAGGAGGCCAACAAGACAGAACATGAACGCTGGCTTTACTGCGGAGCTGGTAAGGCAAGAAACAGCCTCTGATTCCATATATAAAATGTTAAGTCGAAGCGGGTCACTCACTTGGAACGCAAGATAGTTGGTAAAAGGCTGCAGGTTCTGAAGAGTTAATTAGTCTCCCAACCTTTTTCCTGGCCAATGTGCCCTTTCTCACAAACCTTTGCGCTTCTTTGCTATTAACCAAACAACCATTGTTTTGATCAAATGTCGTATGTGCCTGGTTGAGAATGCTGGTGGGGAAGTGGCTGCAGTGGTCCCCGAGGGGGCCGGGCTGGTGGGGAAGGGGTTGCGTACTGAGGGCAGGTTGAGAAGAAGAATCTATCCAGTGATGTGAGGAGTCAGCTCCTACAGGATCATAAGAGGAAATTAATAAATTCTCAGAAATTGTGCAAGCCATTTGTTACCCAGCACTATTACTTAAAATATATTAAACTTATGATTAAATGTATTATATTAAAACAAAAGTAATAAATATTCATATCCTACCACTTCCTAACTTTTTTGCTACATTGTACTATAAACTCTCAAGGTAATTTTCCTACATTGTAGCTATACAATGGAAATAGTATGGAAGGGTGTGCCACTGGACACCTCTTCCCAGTGCCGTGCACAGTGACGACTTGGTAGTGGCTTAAAATCAGCTATGTCAATAACACTTGCCAGCATATCACTGGTCCTGCCTGCAGTGTGTCATCTTCAAGAGTAGTCCTGCCTTTATATTAGAGTTGACTTTAAAAGCAAGATAAAATCCCATTAAAAAGTAGATGCGAGAAACTTGTAAGGTTATAAAGGATGTGCCCAAGCTAACATTTCATGGACCTTCTGCCCGTGATTTCTGACCATTCAGTAGTATTGACTGAGCAGATTCTACCACCATTCAAGGCTCTCTGGATGTAAGGAAGATGAGATGCCCGCCCAAAGGGGGCTGATAGCCTAATAGACCACCCAAGGAGTACCCAGATGATGATGCAGAGATTGGTGTGGGAGGCTAGCACAGGTGCGCAGGAGCTCCCAGGGGGAAGCCAGAGTGTTAAGGCAGGTGTGGAACTAACTCCATAGGCAGCACACTTGGGGCCAGATAAAGTAGTTTGCTGGGGAATCTTATAGGAAAAAATGTATGTGGTTCTGTAACTCTTATCATGCCTTGGAGAAGCACGGGTTGTATCCTGGGAGAGGGATCTCCATATCTCTGCAGCTGGCCAAAGTTGGGAGGGGAAGGCTGCAC